TAGTACTGTACATACATACGTTGGATTAGAGCCCTATACTCTAGCTAATCCTGCTCCCTTGCCAGCTGCCAGGTGCTTTAGAACCCCAAGATAAGAGAAACTCACCAGCTCACACTCGGCGCCTCGCTCTACAATGAAGAGAAAAAAATCAACAAACAGACCACAAAGGTGCATTAACAATCAATGAGCATGCATTTCCGAACAAATTCAATCTGGTGCCAATTCGTCGGTTCAATTGCCAGGTGCAATGATGAAGTCTTTATGCTATGAAATCATCAGAATTTCTTAAATGAAAGCGGCTTATGAAATAAAAATTCGATACCGAATGAAGTACAGCACAGTATGACGGGATTGATATTCAATAAATGTCTGTAAAGATAGAGGAGGTTGTAAACGATAGCCGGATAACATAATTCCAAGTTCAGTGTTGTATGCTAACAACGCCGTATCAGTAAATCTAACTGATCCGGTGTCGTATCCTATTAACGCCGCATCTGTTAATGTAACCGATCGCCCCCAACGCCCCGACTCTGATTCGCTCACCAACCTCTTCTTGGTTCTTTCGGTAAAGTCACGTAGAAGAGAAATAAAAAATAATAAAAATAAAACATAATAAAATAATTCTCACGACGTTTCGGCCACAACGCTGTCTTTCCGACAGACCTGTTCTTCACCTGAGGACGGCTGCTTGCGTTGTGCCCGAAACGTCGTGAGAATAATTTTATTATGTTTTATTATTATTTAATTATTTCTCTTCTACGTGACTTTACCGAAAGAACCAAGAAGATGAATCCCTGCAGTCACGAAAGAAGCTTTAAATCGAAAGCCACCAACCTGTGAAGCTGTCGGCATCCTCAAGGTGCACGTTGTTCTGGCGACGGAGCGGGGAGCTGGGCGGCTTGCCATGAGCGTGGTGGAGATGCGGTCTGCCGCCGCTGCCGCCACCGCCGCCGCCACCGCCGGGCGACAACTGCTCGTGGAACCCGGCCGGCCGGCTCGGGGGAAACGGCGCCGGCTTCTGGGGCGGCCGACCGCTGAAGGGGCGGACCGCCGCCATGGGCGGGATGCTCGCGGATTTCTGCCGCTGGTGCTGCTGGCCCGGCGTCAAGGGGCTGGGGGATTTCGGTGGCGGCGGCTGCGTGGACGCCCTCCGCCCCAGGTGGGGAGGGCGATGGGCGCGAGCCCCCTGATGGTGCTGCGGCTGCGGCTGCCCGTTGTGTTGCAACGACATTTGGCCGAAGCTGTGGATCGCCGGCGGGATGGGGCTCGACGGAGGTCTCTTCACGTGCCGAGCGAGGCATTCTTTCTCTGAAAAGGCAACGCGCAGACGCACGCTGTGTGTGATGGGTGTCGAGACGGCGTTACGCCAGGGCGTGAGGCGATCGGTCTCTAGTGTGAACGGGACAATGCGACCCGGGTTGGAAATCGTAATGAAAACGAGACTCAAATCAGCTGTTGTCTCGCCATTCAGGGGCTGGTGAGTCTGCGCACCGCTGTTGGAAATCAAAGAAAATAAACTCTGAGCAATACTTACCGCTCGTTATGAAGACTCGAAACTGCATACACCGCTTGCGTCCCGGTGCCTGACCTGCTATCCTTGCACCCTACCCTCTTCTGGGCTTCCGTGCCCCATGAACACATTTACCTGCCGGCCATGCCACTGTGGACTGGGGAGTGATTGCTGTGCCTGTCGTGCTTACGATGATCATATACAAGTTTTCCATTGCGGTGATTGTGGGACATAACCATCTTAGGGAAAAAGGAAAAGCATTGCTGCGATTGATGGATGCTATTGCAGCTGCTTTTGCAGCAATGCTTTTGTGTCACCTCGATATAATCTATGCAGACACCTTCGCATCGATAAGTCAAACGTCAGATGTTTACTAACAGAGGTTTGGAGACCCCGGCTCTGCTCACCATACAAAGTGTTCGTCGCGGTAATTTTAACACAAACGGCTTTCGCGACCAATGTTACGATTTAAGATTGACATTTTGGGCCAGGTCGCCAAATTGAACCGTGTTTTGTACGCCAACTCCCCTCCACAATTCTGTCACCTGCTTGATGATGCTGGCTGCTGCAGCTACCAGCGAAATGTCACGCACTCCGTTGTTTTTTATGTGCCTCTCCAACAACAACACGGGTGGCATTGAAGCGGTGATAAATTGGCTACGTTTATTCACGCGACAACTTCACAAGTTGGCTGTGGCTGAGTGGAGGTGGGTTTACGACACGCGTTATTACTGACGTGATCTGACGCATAAAATCACTTGTGTTCGTCGGTGGTGTTCTGTTTACAAAGAGGTTGTAGGACCAGTGAAATTAAAGCCTGTCTAAAATGTAATTGCTTCAGAATATCAGTGTCACTCACATGTAAGTTTATGATTTTAGCATCATCGTTTTTTTTATTCACGACCTAGGTATAAAGTGGGGGTAGTGACCCCACCTTAAAGTCATGTTTTTTTACATTATATAACTTTGTCCATAAAAATACATGATTACAATAATTTTTTCAGCAAAACGCAAGGTGGATAATTTAATTAATTCCCAATTTTTTTTTGCAATCTATTCGGATTGATTTTAAAATAATCTAAATGTGTGGTGGCCATTTTGCATGGGTACAGCCCTTTGCCCCTCTCCCCATCCCCTCCACTGCCACCACCGCCAACACCCGCCGACGCCACACGTACGCATCTGTATAATCAGCGCGTAGTATTTAACCTACGGGCATTTTTAAATAAAAGTTTAAAGGACCCGCAAAGTCTACCGTGTTTCTGCAGCCATTTGCACCGTTTAAAATGTAGAATCTGTTCAAATTCACCAATTCCACGATCCACCCGTTTGTGACCTTACGTGGTAATAAAGAAACCATAGCCCCCCCCCCCCCCTCGCCCCTTACCTGTTGCGTGTGCTCCTGGGTGCTGGGCTCGTGCTCCCACGTGGGCGAGCACGGAGTGAGGCCGTGCCGGGTAGGTTGCGGGGCAGTGAGGCCCCGACAGTGAGCGGGAGTTCTTGTTGCAGTTGCTCTGAGTTTTGGAGAAGGGAGGTGCAGAGTTCCCTCTCCTGGGCCCGGCCTTCTGCTCCTTCGACAAAGCTGTCGAATGGGGGTGGGGGGCGTCGTTGGTCACACCTCGTTTGCTTTCGGGTTCCGCAAGGAGATCAGTCTCATTGAGCTACTAATCGCGGTTACTTGAGGCGAGGCCGCATCACGACCTGGCCACGTTTCTGTTGCAAGACCCAGATCGTTAGTATTACGTGGCCTAACCCCGCAAACATCCATTCTGAATGATAATTACGGGCGTGAAATCCGACAGTTTCAACTTGCAGCACGTCCGTTTAGGGCCACCCCCAACGAAAAGACAATTGCGTACGTAACAGTCGCGATAACGTTCATCTCGTAGCACGCCACCGCGCGATATTCGCTCCTCGCTCTCGTAGAGAGGGAACGACTCAAAGGCGCGAGGAGGAACGACAGACGAGCGGGAGGGCAGCAGCCACGCGATGAGCCGGCGCCAACAATCGCCCGTGCTTCGCAGTCCTCTATGTATTAAGATGTTACTGGCCAATTAAAAAGTGTTTACAGGTGGGAGGTAAACCTGAGCACCTGGAGAAAACTCATGCGCGCTAGGGGTAAAACACTGCATCCAATACAGATGGAACAAGTGAAATCCACATTTTTGCTGGTTCCGCCTTCTCCTAGCAATTAAGCCGGGGTATGGATCCACCTCGACGCCAACGGGACGGGAGTTTCATGAGATCTCTGCGTGACCCACCAACCCTTGCCGCCTCCACAATGCTGGGCTACAGGCCACGTGCGTGCCACTGCCGCCCAGACAAAGCCAGATGCTCCGTGGAGCATCGTGCTCCCCGTTCAGTGTCCGCTGGTCTGTAGGCTGCACAGTTAACAATAAAAACCTAAAGCTATAAACTAATATGTTGATTTGAAGCTTTCGTGACTGCAGGAATCCATACTCTTCGGTTATTTCAGTGAAGTCACGTAGGTAGAAAAATAAAATAAAACCACGACGTTTTGGGCGCAAAACAAGGTAAACCTTTAAAACAGTCTGCATCAGCAGCAGGCCATGCTTTCCCACCCGATGGCGGACGCTTATGTTGCGCTCGAAACGTCGTGGTTTATTTTAGTTTATTTTTATATCTACGTGACTTTGCCGAAAGAACCAAAGAGTATATCTACACTAATAAATACAGGCCTGAATGCCAGACATTGAAAACCGATTGCTTTTTGTGTTTATTTTATTTGCCCTTTAGCCGCACCTCCAATTAGCACGGTTGACTACGAACGGTGCGAAAGAAGTTAACACACACACGTGCTGGGGTCACTCTGATTTGATAGCATGCATCGCGTCGAGGTGTCATGCTCTGGCTTGCTGGGAGAATGTAGCACAGCAAAAAAAATTTACTCCACCTAATCACCTCGCAGGGGATACAGTGTTTCCCCCTCGCACGAATGTGTTTCCTCCGGGTGCTCCGGTTTCCTTTCAAATGTCAACCATTCATGAATTGCTCAATGACAACTTAACATACAGAGGACGGCAGAGCTTTGGCAATTACTGGGAGCGCCGGCTCTCCGCCTGTTGTTCCTCGTTGCGATTCTATCCTATTCCTAAGTTGCCTTCTATCCAGAGTGGCATCTGAGACCTTTGATTTTGTCTCGCTGCTGCCATCTCTAATGCTCTGAGCCCCTCCTCTCTCTCTCTCTTTCTCTACGAGAGTGAGTGAATACTGTGCGGGGGCGTTACAAGTTGACATTATTATAATAATTATTGTTATTATTATCATCTACACTTTGCAATTTACCCTTCGGGTAACACTTGCACATTACCACTTCAATCGTGTGGCCCCGAAGTAGGCACATCAATTGCGTTTGTTCACGTGCGCAATTTTTGTTCAATAAGTTGGGTGGTTTTTGTTGTTGTTGTTGCATAGTGCCGTCGTTAAAAGTGAACGATGAAGCATCGAGCCCCGCTGTGTTGCCACTCACGTGCAACCGAAGTCCGGTCATCAGATTTGGTTGGGCTGTCTGCGATAGGTGTCACGTAATCTCCCTGTAAAACAGAGCCACAGAGCATATTAGGCTGAGCCACTGGAACACGTCATTTAAATTACACAGCATCTCATGGCTTTGCCTCGCCGGTCTCGTCAAGGAGCATAAACCATCATCGCGCAAACTCCGGTCATCCTCGCAGCAGCAGGGGCTTTTGGCTGGCCATCGAACAAAGATGGCCACTGCATCACGTGCTTTCAGATGCACTTCTGTGGCCGTCTGGAACGCTCTTCCTGCGGATTATAGGAAGCTTCTGGAGCTGTGCACTTTTAATCTAAATAGAAAACTAATTTCTTTAGAACAGTCTTTTGTGTTTAGTTTGTTGTCCTTCCCCCTGCGAAAATTTAAAATATAACTTACTCTCAAAATAATAATCGCAGAGGTTTTTGTTTTTTTAAACTTTACAGCAAACATTAAGAGCCACCAAGGAAGGAAAACAATATCTTGTTCACAAACCCAAATAATAAGCTAAATTAAGAAATCCACAAGACCATACAAAGCCAACGCTTCCAGCAGCTGGACATTGCCCACGACGGGGCTGAAGGAGTCACGTTTTTATATTTCCTTACGACAAATAAGCGTGGCCACAGGCTTGCAAGTGTCGACCTGCAGAGTACGGCTACTCTCCTGCAACGCAATGCCTTGGGCAATGTGACTGTTGATCGCAAATGCCACAAATCGTGAGGCATCCGTCGCAACAAGAGGCACAACTGTCACAGCCTGCGGGCTTTGTTGAAACGAGACAACGACCCCTGTAGCAAAAAAGGAACGCCTGCTAAACTGCAAAAAAGACAAAGTATGAGAGTGCGACCCTTAACGATGGAAGAATGTGCAAGCTGTGATTAAAATCCACGGAGTATATGGTCACGATAAAAACAACTTACGTCGCTTTCTTGATCCTTGGAGTGCAAATTGAGGCGAAACGACTCGGCCAGGGGAGCGGAGGGTACGGGTCTCTGCTGCACGATGAACGAGCGGCGTTCATCTGAGGAAGAGCGGTCAACAAGGGAGAGAGGTGGACAACGTTGACTCTGGCAGCGCTGGCTCCCAACTTCGGCGGCGTGCTGTTTGCCCGAACGCGCGGGCGTGACTGAGGGAGTTGAGAGGGCAGCAGACGGCTGACGGCCAATGCCTCCCCACAACATGTAAGTCATGGGGGGTTTAAATTTCGATTTAAAGCTTTCGTGACTGCAGGGATTCATCTTCTTGGTTCTATCGGTAAAGTCACGTAGAAGGGAAATAATAAAATAATAAAAATAAAACATAATAAAATAATTCTCACGACATTTCGGCCACAACGCAAGCAGCCGTCCTCAGGTGAAGAACAGGTCTGTTGGAAAGACAGCGTCTGAATGAATGACGCTGTCTTTCTGACAGACCTGTTCTTCACCTGAGAACGGCTGCTTGCGTTGTGGCCGAAACGTCGTGAGAATTGTATTTTATTATGTTTAATTTTTATTATTTTATTATTTCCCTTCTACGTGACTTTACCGAAAGAACCAAGAAGAAAAAAAAAACCATGGGGGGTTGTTTGACCATACTTCACCGAGCCGTGGGTTGGTGCCGACCGCTTCGCATATCACTCGCCACTGTCGGCCACAGCCGGAGAAAGTCAAACTCGGGTCATTGCGCCGGCCTGTCCACATGACATCATGACCACGGCTCGCTTCCCACGGAGTGAAACTAATTTTAGTAATGCCACCGAAGGAAGGATGATGGGCTGAGTCACCCAGAGCTGGAATTCAACTTTCCACCGTGAGTCAAAAGCTCTGCTGAATCATGCGATCCTTTACGATTCACTGACATCCTCATGAGCAACATCAGAGCATATTCAACTATGAGCTCATACCCTGGTCAACCGAAGAGTGTTAAGAATACAGGTAACGGCGGGGCCCTGCAAATACTCGCCACTGCTGGCAGCAAAAGGGCCTCCACTTGACAGGGAGCGCTGGAGAGCCAATCTAGAGGGTATTTGGCCTACTCTTCCAATGCTGGCCAGTCAACCTTGGTCGAGGTGGGAACACCCACACGTTTACCCCCATCACACACGTGGACAGAGGTGGGAGGTGGGGGGGAGGGGCATTGGATAAACTCGCCGCCCACCCCCCGTTTTTTCAGCCACCACGCAGTTGAAAAAATGGGCGCAAGATGGAATCGACCCAATGACCTCTGGGTCGCAAGTCCAGTGTCGCCGGCACACAATTACACTATTAGACGACTTAATTTGTTAAGACGATATACACATATCCAGTGCAACACGATATGTCACATGTGTGAGTGCGACGCCGCAGAATATCCGCTCGTTCTCGGAGAGAGCGAGAGAACGACTCAGAGGCACGAGGAGCGACCACAGACAAAGAGGGGAAGGCAGCAGCCACACGATGAGCCGGAGCCAACAATTGGCCAAGCTCTGAGGTCCTCTATATATTAAGGCTTTCCCGTTCCGAGACATCTGCAAGTTACAGGGTGGGTGTTGTCCCGTTCACCGCTGAATCTGACAACGCGTGAGCGGCTCAGCCTTCATTTGATTTCAAGAGGAGCAGCAGCGCCGTTGTTTTTAGAGACTTTGTTACTCACCGCCGAGAAAAGTAGCGGCACCACCGCACTGCTGGCGCCAAGCTGAGCCACACGCCCTCCCGAATGGCCTTGTGGCAGGATCGGTACCGATAAAGGTATTTTATTTTATATTCTTAGGTTTTTTCGGTAAAGTCACGTATGTAAAAAAATTTAATTAAAATGAATAAAAGTAAAATAAAAATAAAATAAAAAATCACGACGTTTCGGAGGCTTGTGTTACCTCGGAAACGTCGTGATTTTTTATTTTATTTTTTTTTATTTAAATTTTTTACCTACGTGACTTTACCGAAAAAAACCTAAGAATATAAATCCTTGCAGTCACGAAAGCTTCAAATCTATGTTATTTTAGCCTTTCCTTCCGGTTTCGTTTCGATGATGTAACCCGTACATCATTGGAACGGAATCGGAATAAAACCCGACGACGTACACGCACGTCATCGGAAGGGGAAAGGGCTAACAGCGTTATAGGCCGACGCATGAGCGACGTACCGGCGTAGAGGCCGTCATCGCACGTGCGGGCCGGCACCACGGAGGGGCTGTTGTTGTCGGGGCTCTTGGGTGGCGGCTCGTAGTCCGGAGGGTCCTCCTCGTCGGGCTTGTCGTAGTCGTGGTCGTCGGGCTCCGGAGAGGCCCCGGGCAGCACGTAGTCATCGTCCGTGTCGCCCTGTGCACGCGCAGACGGCGGGATGGCTGACGAGTCATGGCACGGCTCTCTCCTCCCTCTCTCCCACGTGGGTTTCTGGGCGGTGCCGCGCGGCGTCCGGCACGATGTCCGACGTTTCGCTCCGCAATTGCGGGGAGCGAGTTCAAGAGCCGAGATGTGAGGAGGAGCTCCCGGGCATCGTGCGGGACGGGGGGCTCTTGTTCAGAAGCGACCTGGCCACAAATGGTAGCTCAGCAAAGTAGCTTACCATGTGGAAATTTACAGGAGATTCTAAATGTGGAAGGAAAAACCGGAGGACCGGGACAAAAATCCAGGAGACCACGGGCAGAGAGACACGCAAACCCCAAATATGCAGCAGGCGTCAGGGGTCGAGATCGAACCCACGACCTCCTGCATACCAGGAGAGGGAGTTAACATCTCACCACAGCACAACGGTGAGAGCGGCGACCACGTGGCGGCCACCCACTCGATGTGCTCGGTCAAAGCGAGTGATCGTCGGAGCTGGCCGCGTGAATTGTGCTGAGACACGAGGCACCGAAGGTGAAACGCTGATTTCCATTCATACTAAGCCATTTGCAGGAGCCTAAACTGCTGTAATGAATAATTGCCACAACGCACAGAGTTATAATTTCATTTCACGACTCGATGACACTTTACAAATCTTCAAATCTCGACTAAGAAATGTCTCTCTCTTTAGTTATTTTCAAAATGTCTTTCTCACTTCTTCTTTCCTTGGTTGATGCTCCACTATTTTCCGCCTTTCCATGCACAGCGCCCTGAGAACGATTGTTTGTTTTCTTGAACGGAGGCGGGGGGGGGGTCCCAGAACCCCAGAACACAGTTCGGATATCGCTTGCGACCGATGCTAGCCATGGCCAGGAATTGAAATCGGGTGGCTGGATTCATGACTGCAGTACGCTTAAATTACAGCTCACCCACAACGTGTCATCTACGGCGGGCGGCTCAATGGAAGTCACATAATTCGGTGCAATTTTTGTTAACTTGTATGTGAAGGTGTGTGAAGGTGTTAAACGAGGAATTTACCATATTCTTAGGTTTTTTCGGTTAAGTCACGTAAGTAAAACATCAAAATAAAAATAAAATAAAAATAAAAATCACGACGTTTCGGAGGCAACACAAGTCTCCGTCATCAGGTGGGACCGTCACAGCCGAATTAGCTGCATCAAGGGTGCAGCTAATGATGCAGCTAATTCGGCTGTGACGGTCCCACCTGATGACGGAGACTTGTGTTGCCTCCGAAACGTCGTGATTTTTATTTTTATTTTATTTTTATTTCGATGTTTTACTTACGTGACTTAACCGAAAAAACCTAAGAATATGAATCTTTGCAGTCACGAAAGCTTCAAATCTAGAGGAATTTACCGTCCACACACGATAATGAAAGCGTCACATTTGTTAGGAGTGTTTGCTGCGGTAGCTATGTGTTGTTCTTCTTGGTTCTTTCGGTAAAGTCACGTAGAATGGAAATAATTAAATAATAAAAATAAAACATTAAATAATTCTCACGACGTTTCGGCCACAACGTAAGCAGTCGTCCTCAGGTGAAGAACAGGTCTGTCGGAAAGACAGCGTCATTCATTCAGACTTACTGTCTTTCCGACAGACCTGTTCTCCCCCTGAAGACGACTGCTTGCGTTGTGGCCGAAACGTCATGAGAATTATTTAATGTTTTATTTTTATTATTTAATTACTTCCATTCTACGTGACTTTACCGAAAGAACCAAGACGATGAATCCCTGCAGTCACGAAAGCTTTAAATCGAAAGCTATTTGTTGGTCGCTGGCTGCTGTTGTTGTTGTTGTGTTCGTGCCCATACGTTTGGGTTTTCTTCGGGCGGATCGTCGTAGTCTTGATCGTCCTCCTCCTCTGCCTCGGGCTGTCCCGCGTCCGTGCTGTACCCAAACTCCTTTGCTGGCTTCTGGGAGCTTTGCGGGCGTCCGAATGGCGTATGCGGCTGCTGAACGAGTACATGGAAACACGCGAGAGTAAATATGTTACATCGAAGGGGTTTGTGCCACTTCCAAAGCAACATTTATGTCCAGCGAGCAATGGGAGCTTCTACACCAGTGGCTCCTCAATTTGTGGTCTGCGGTCACTGGTGGCCAACAAGGCCGAGGGAAGTTGGCCTCTGGGATAGCTGCAATATTTCCACAATACACCAACATTTGTTGTTAATGCTTGCACCTTTACATCATCCGCAACTAGTTTACACAACAAAGGCTCATTACTAACAGCGGCTTCAGCCGCACCGAACCTCACAACAATAATATGCAGGGCCTACCTTGGCTCCTCCCACCCTCAACCAGTATATATACAAATACTGTGTTCTTGGAATTTCTCTCACTTGATACAGCTATCGTGCTGTGACGGTTCCACCTGAAGACGGAAGCTTGTGTTGCCTCCAAAACGTCGTGATTTTTATTTTATTTTTATTTTACTTTTATTAATTAAAATTTTTACCTACGTGACTTTACCGAAAAAACCTAAGAATACGAATCCTTGCAGTCACGAAAGCTTCAAATCTAGAGTTAATGCTTGGTCCCCAACCGAAAGATAGTTGAGGGTGGACAGCGGTGGTCGGGACCAAATATTTCCCAGCAGTATTTGTTTCAAGTTTTAACAAAGCAAATATATTTTTGTTGTAATCTGTTCTGGATTCACCTTCTCCGAGTATCATCAGCAGGGACGTGGCCTGTTCAAGCAACCCGGCCGCTCTGTTTGGTCTTCACAGATGAGAACCCGAACACGAAAACCGTGAGGCTCAGAAGAGATGTTTTGATCGGGTAAAACGCCGACGCGCGTCGTCGTAATCGTCGTACAGCCTCCTCCATCCCGACGCGACCAATTAATGCAGTTTGTCACGTCAATAAATGTGGCCAATTTTCGTTCGCTGCTTAAGTGCACCGGGCATGTGCTGCTGTTGTAGAGCATTCCAGAGCGCATTGAACTACGCGGCACCATGGGGCGCCGGTGAGTGCGGTGTAGAGGAAACGCAGAATAATCAGCATCTGGCTCGGTAGATTTGCGGGGGTGTCGAAGAAATAAATAAATAAGCTTGGGCAGGAAACGGGTTTCTTTCATTTTGCCGATTAAACGAACCCAAATTTAAATATTACTTTAATTTATATTTCACGATCCAGATAAAATTAAGGACAAATGTAAAGTACGCACAGTTATACGACCTTGTGGTTCAGAGTGTTCTTTTTTTAAATTCAAATATCTCAGCCGGATACATCCCCTTTGCATGTGAACGTCTCACTTGCCAAGGTGTTGCCCAGGTTATCAAAGTGGTGCGTGCACAGCGCACAAATTACCGACGCGGTATACACACACACACAAGGTATTACCCACAATGCAACAAACTAGCTGAAGCCATAACAGGTTTTATGTTGTTAAATCACGGAACTATAAATGTGTATTTAAACCCGCCAACACCGACACAGCCAATTAGTAAGGTTTGTCACGTGAAAAGAACATTCCAATTCGTTACTAGTGTAATAAGAGAGCACCATCTCCTGTAGTATTGTGGGGGGTATATCACCTTATACAGTCTATGTTATCTATAGCGGGCATTACATCGAGGTGAAAAGTGATGGGGCGGATCCACCAGGGAAGCCTCTGGAATGTTCCCGAAGGTTCCAGGAGGGGCGTGGCCAGAGGAGGGGCGGGGCTAGGGGCGGGGCTTAGCCTCCGGGGAGCGAATATAAGCTGGGGGCACAGCAACGAGCGGGGTCAGTGTGTGAAGATCAAGAGGAGCTCCCCGTCGCTGCTGCCCCGCCAACTCCACCTGCCACGTGGCGGCTCGACCTCCAGCCAATCAGCTGCTCCCTAGCGCGCCGTCAGCCGGCGGCGTGTTGGTGAGCGGGTGAGCGCCACGTGGCGAGGGGCAGCTCAGCCACCCGAGTGGGTGGACATCCGCGGAGAGAGAGAACGAGTTTATACAACTTCAAGTCTTTTACCGTGTCAGAGCCACTCATTACACCAGTACAACACACCGGCGTGCTGTATTAGTAATGGATCGGCACGTTCTGCTTATGTGACAAACCTTACTAATTGCCTGTGTCGGGTGGTGGCGGGTTTAACGACATATTTATATTTACGCGATCTAACCCAAAAAAAAACCCTTTATTATGGATGACATTGGTCGCGAAATCCTCCTACGGGTTAAATGACCTCAAATCAGTCACGGCCACAAAAAGGATGTCACATCATGGTCGTCGTAAATTGTCATCAAGACGCTTTTTGTTTTCGTTTGCAAAAACAATGGGAATGCCTTGACTAAAATCAAGGACATTTGCAGAATATTAAACCTGCACGTAGCCATGGATTGAAAGCACTGGAGAGAGAATCGACTTGAACGAAATGTACACATGGCATTTCAGTATGTGCACCGTAACGTTCACACATTTAAACTGATTTTTTAAATATATAAACAAACAGAAGATCGTCGCAATTACTTAATACCTTTTTGTTTTTGCCAGACAGATTTGCCAACACCACTCACAGTGAAGCCGCAAGGTGACGACGCGTTCTCGGAGCTCGACGTGAGGGCCGAGTTTACAAACTCGTGGACGACGAGGGGAATGAGACCACTCCGAGAATGCGGACAGATCAGGGGACTTGACTTCAGGTGGCGTTCGTTCGTTCATCGCGCAGTGTCGGCAAATGACCTCTTGCGGTGACAGCGTTCGCACGCTCTTGGCTGCCGTACACCGGCATCGCGAGTGATTTGTTGATTTGTTTGAGCCACGGATCACGGGGTGGGGGGGGGGCAGGCGACCACGGTGGGGGGGGGGGGGCAACCCGTTCCTTTGAGGGGGGTCGCAGTCTCTCGCGCCGAACGTCGGACCGCCAAACGAAGTTCCGCGATTTTGCCGCTGGAGTGTGCGCAGTTGCAGATCAAATCGAGTGTCTATTTCCGTGACTTCCGTAGCCGGGGGCGAATGACGCCGCGTGAATCAATCCGCATGTCTATCAGTCGTCAGCAGCAGCAGCTGTCGACTGATAACGATGGGTGTGCATAATGATGTAGACGTTGCGGCCCTTCGCCACATTCTTGCCAAGAGGTCACGCGTCGTGAAAAAGACACTGAGCTTGGCAGGTGAGGTTATAACTCACTCTGGTCAAGGTGGTAAGAGTGGCTCGCACGAGATTTACCCATATTATGCCGCTTATTTGGTGATGCTGCTGCTGAAATGGCACAGTTAACAATAACAACTCAAGACACTCGTCGACAATACTGTGGCTTTAAAATATATATGAAATCGGCAACGTTTTTGGCAATGACCCCTCTGACGGAAGGTCCTCCGCTAGACGGAGCCCCAGACAGCCCCTCTAGAGGGTATTTAGGCCTAACCTTCCACACTGGCCAGACGTTTTGGAAGCGGTGGGGGTATCCACACTTTGCCGCACCGCACGCGGCCTGCCGATCGTATAACGGCGTTGGGCCGACAGAGGTGAGAGAATTCACGAAAACGTGGCCGTTGTTTCAACTGGGGCACCCAGTGAGATCACACTGGGTGACCTCTGAGCTGCAAGTCACAGCGTGCTGACCACAACACCACACGGCAGCATCCCCATCGATGCATTGCGAGTTGTGAAATGTTTGACCAATGGGTTATATTATTCTGCAGGGCCAGCAGTATGGATTCTAATTGACTTTACAGCATTGTAGTTACAACCACTGTGCAGGTTCTGCTTACAATCGCGTCCTCATCTGTTGGCTGCTCATAGTCTTGGCCATCGTCCTCCTCGTCACATCGTCGCTCCGCTCCTCTTGCGTTGTACGTGGACTCCGTCACTGCTGCCCTGTGGAGGCTCTGGGGGTTCTTCACCCGGTGTGCTTGCAGCTGTGAAATGAGAAGAGTAAACATTGCTTTCCTAATTCCGTGCAACTCGGGGTCATTTTGTTCGTAACATTTTCGTAAATGTTTTAATGGGAGATGACTTGCGCTACTCGCTTTCAACAATTGTGTAACAGCCCCTACTGGACATCTGTGAAAAACAGTTTCGTAGCTCATCGGCTTCCTCCAGTCTAAAAGACTCTGATTCTGGTATAAATGAGTACGTGATACATATATCTCCCTTATTGAAACTGTATTTCCATTAAAATGTCAATGAACGCAAGGTTTTAAAACGAATCGTACGATAGTATTTTGATGACAAACTAACATGACCCAAATAAAATGAAGCAATTAAAAAACAAGTTACCTTCATATTCACTTGCGCTGAATTGCCATGGTAAGCGTAAATCTTTTGTTATGGTTTTTGTCATCTTCGGTGCATGTGAACTACATTCAGGCCCTTTCAGTTCATGGGAACGGTACTCACATTCAGGTCCTCATCAGTCGATACTATCAGTTCATGTGAACGGTTCTTACACCCAGGTCCTTGTCGATTCATGTGAACAGTACTCACCTCCAGTTCCTCATCGATGGGTACTTCATAATCTTCATCTTCTTCCTCCTGCTGAGCCCACGAGGCCTTCGGGCTCTGTGGGGTGTCCTGGCCCTGCCTCGGGATGCTTGCTTGATGCTGATTGTCTGGCTCCTGTGGTTTGTAGGCAGGATACAAAACGAATTAACAAGAACGAAAATGATCATCTATGAATTAACATTAGCACTTTGAAAAAAAATATTTACATACAAAATTGAAAGGATCTCTTTGTACTTTGTATAGAATATAGAACGTACAACATTCGTGATATGCCGCATCTGTGGGTTGTGTTCGCAACTCGCTGCACAAATTCTGCTCGCTATCAGACGGTATTGCTACTGCATTATACTTATCAATTTAATGTCATTTGTTTTCAGTAATCTACATTTCTGTGTGGATTTTTACAGCAACTCATCACAGCAGCAGCACCAGCAGCGGCGTCCATGTAAATTTAAGCTTTCCACAAAATGAACATACGACGGAATGTCAGCAAATAAATAAATAACGAACGTACGAATACCAGTGAACAAGTGTTGATCGTATCTGGATTCAAATTAATGATATCCATCAGCAGTGTTGGTTGTGTTGAATGTAGCGTAGAAACTCGTGACAACGTGAGCTATGAGAAGGCTACCGCCGCCCACTTCCTTCAACGGAGGAGGAGGAGGATCAAAACTCCACTAACTCCTGAAGCCCTCTCTCCGTGCCGAGCCAGATCCCCACACTGGCATTTAGCTTGTGAACACATTGCCATGCTCAGGAACGTATCCCACGATGTATGTTGAATTTCTTTAGCACCAGTGGAAGGACAACAAACGAATCACAAAACTCAGTTCTAAGGAAATTAGTTTTCAACTAAGATGTAAAAGGGCTCAGGCTTTGTTATTGCAACAATTGTGTGATTACAATAGAAAAGACATGGAATACACGAAGTAGGATTTGCATGTAAAGAACCTGCTAATTCACATGAGACACGTCTCATTGAGACATTTCGCTGTTACCTCTGGATCTTCGTAATTGTGTTCATCATCATCGTCGTCGTCCTCCTCCTCCTTGCCTTGCTTTCCATATTCCTCATCGTTGTCCTGAACGAATGAAATAAATGAATTGAAGGACGTCCCGAAAAATGTGGGAAAATCGTGGCACATCAACGATAAAATAGCCTTAACCAACGGGAATAACTTTTACTTTCCAGAGGATGACGATGGAAAATTTGGATTTTAATTAAATTTGACATGTTTTAACTTTCTCTCTTCACATTTCCGACACACGGTACATTCGAACAAGAAACGTGCGGTCTTGCAAAGTGGCCAGAAGAGTGGCAGAACCAGGAAATGGGCTCAGTCCATTTTTTTGTATTCACTGAACTAGGTCTGCTCATTGAATTTCTCTCCGTGTGGAGCGTATCCCTGACCGTGCGTGCCCTCCTCCCGTGCGCCAAAAGCACGGCAATTAAAATGGGTCCAAGCATCTCGGCAGAGGGACCCTCCAGATACAAAAGAGTCTTGAAACCGAATCATTCCGTGAGTAAGTAAATGACATGAGCATTCACTAGTCTCTTAAGTCCACGCAAACCGACCGACAGACCGTATGTGGAGAGAATGCTAAACTGTTCAATTGGCAACTACTTCAATTGCATGGGCTCGTAAAGTATCCCACGATGTACGAACTTCTTTAGCACCATACGGAGCCAGTCGTGCTAATCGGAGGTGCGGTGGAAGGACAAGAAACTAAGCACAAAACTCAGTTCTAAAGAAATTAGTTTTCAACTAAGATGTAAGAGGGCTCAGGCTTTGTTATTGCAACAATTGTGTTATTACAATAGAAAAAGACATGGAATACACGAAGTAGGATTTGCATGTAAAGAACCTGCTAATTCACATGAGACACGTCTCATTGAGACATTTCACTGTTACCTCTGGATCTTCGTAATTGTGTTCGTCGTCGTCGTCCTCCTCCTTGCCTTGCTTTCCATATTCCTCATCGCTGTTGTCCTGAACGAATGGAACAAATGAAATGAATGGGTTGAAGGACGTCCCGCCTAATGTGGGAAAATCGTGGCACATCAACGATAAAATAGCCCGGAACGACTGGAATAACTTTTTACTTTACAGAGGAGGACGATGGAAAATTTGGATCTTCATTTCATTCTACATCTTCTTGGTTCTTTCGGTAAAGAACCAAGAAGATGAATCCCTGCAGTCACGAAAGCTTTAAATCGAAAAATTAATTCTACATGTTTTCACTTTCTTTCTTCACATTCACGACACACGGTACATCCGAACAATAAACGTGCGGTCCTGCGTCACAGCCCGCGGGTGTCCCCGTCGTTGTGATTTTTACAGGGGTTGGTTGAAATTTTTTCTAAATTAACGCACGGGGTGGGGAGCGAGGGGGCAAGGAAAGGGGAAGGGGGGGGGAGAGGTCGGATTGTGAGGGCACAGTGAAGCTCGCCACGGCGTTCCCTCGCGAGCGTCGCGTGAGACCGCCTGCGGCGCACGTGCGTAAGTGTCGTTCGAGCGCTCATCGGATAACGAGACGAATTTGTTCGAGAACGCCAAGAACGTGATGAGTCGCAACCCACTCTCAGATCACATCTGCCACTCCGACTGACTTATGAGATCACATTTCTTACATCGATACTTTAGGACACTTTAGGACACTTCACTGCCTTGGTAAGGATACATTACAACTTTGGTGAGGTCACATCACACGGTTTCATAATCGTCAAGTTTGCTTTGCTCGATTGATCTTCCTTCATAAGGTGAATCTCATAACTCTGGCCTCATCTCTGAATGTTACATTATGGGAGAGGCACAATATATTGGCTGGCCATCGAACAAAGACGGTGACTGCATCATGCGCTTTCAGATGAGCTTCTGCGGCCGTCTGGAACGCTCTTCCTTCTGATATTAGGAAGCCACTGGAGCTATGCACTTTTAAGTCATCATCTAGGTTGACAAACTCATTTCCTTACAACTGGTTTTTGTGTTTAATTTGTTATCCTTCCCCTGCACCTCCGATTAGCATGGTCGGCTACGTACGGTGCGAAAGAAGTTCAACATAATACACATTATTTAACTCAATAATGTTAACCTATGTTGATCGAGAACAAGTCTAGAACTTGATATATAACCAATTTGTGAGATATATCTTGTATTGCTTACACAAGCACCAGCGGTGGTTTAAAATTAATCTCCTGTATCAACGCATTCGTTAGGTCAACATCAAAGCACAGACAACGTCACGCGTACGGGAACAATTGGACGTCTTAACGTCGCACGACAGAATGGCTGGCACGTTTATCATTCGCAGCTCGGAAATGTTATCAGGAAAAATTGCCACATTGCCTTGAGGTTGGCTCAACGAATTAAAAATAACCCCCCGCCTTTCCTTGGTATCAGATCTTTGTCCCGAGGCTGCCCATGTTTGAGCCGCAGCTCCTTTGTGAAGCTCTCCCAGTCCTTGTTAACGCATTTAAACATTTTTTTCGTTCAATTTACTTATTATTTTACCAGGTATGGCCCACTGAGCAATGTGGCTCTTTTTCAGAAGCGACAATGGCAATAAACGATCGTTCAACAAAGTGGCTTATCACGTGAATATTTCAAGCCGCCAAATACTCGAAACGCGTGACGTTAATTCTAAACGCAGGGGGAAAACCCGGAGGACCCGAAGAAAAATCCATGCGACCACGGGGAGAGAGATAGACATTCAAATTCCAAATACACAGGCGTTAGGGTCGGGATCAAATGCACGACCTCCTGTATACCAGGCGAGGTAGTTAACATCTCGCCACCGTGGCGGCCCTGCCGCTGACACGTTGGCACTGGTGCACAAGCACGGTGTAACGCAAACACTCGACACGCTTGTCAACAACACTGTGGTCTTGGTAGATAAGAAAATAAATGAGATAATATTTGCGACATTTCTGCATAGTATTGTCTCAACTCGTGGAGCTCACCGTAAAGCCCGGAGCACGCACGGTGACACATCTGCTACCGGCGGTTTAAACACGATGCCGAAGGATGAATACACAGCTCTTTGTCAATCGACGACTACGACATGACCAAGATTGTCTCTCGCCATACTTCGCCACGATTGTGAGCGTTGATTGTTGGAGACACCGGTACCTGTTCAGATGCAACTCGCCACCGAAACTAGCCGTGGCAGGGTACCAGACTCGTGTCCGGCACGTTTATAACGCAATGCGCTAACTGCTGCGGCCACGGCTGCCATCCACGATGAAACCAATAAAACCCCTGGCCGTAATCTCCCGGTGGCCAAATTTGAATATTTTAGTCCGTGGATTTTTCTGCCTTTGACCAACGACCCAACTTACAGTGTACATGTGCCAAACCTCAGCTCTGGAACATTTGGGCGCCACTGTGGCGAGACGTTAACTACTTTGCCTGGTATGCAGGAGGCCGTGGGTTCGATTCCGACCCTAATGCCTGCTGCTGTATATTTGTAGTCTGCATATTCTCCTTGTGGTCGCGTAGATTTTTCTCCGGGTCCTCCGGTTTTTCCCTCCACATTTAGAAATGTGCATTGAAGAATATTTGGCTGCTGATATGAATTTCCACATGGAAGCCACTTGGCTGAGCTATTATTTGTGGCCAAGGCACTCATAAAATAGAGCTATATAGCTCAGTGGGCCTTACCTGATAAAATCAAGTTTTAGTCTACATCACTCAGTGTGTCACGACCTGATAACTCCTAGAATTACCCGTAGAAACGGTCCTCAGAGATCCACAAACAACGGGGATATTCACAGATCCCATTGGCCCTCTACGGTTTAACAAGATTCACACAAATGAGGAGTTTGCTGGGCCGTACATCTTATAACGGACACCTCACTTACCCACAAGACAAAGATCCCCCATATAGTCGTTTGGACAAATGTTGTTAGCAGGCAACTACGAAGGCCTGCACGGTGCACGAGGGGGTGGGTGGCCAGAATCAGGCCCGGCCACCTTTGTCTCACTACTAGAACTGTCTAAACACTGCACCAGGTACTTTTTTGAGGTTGAGTAGATCTAGAGGAGGCCCAGGACAGGTTCAGATAATCGTCACAGGTATTTGCCTTGAGCGGCAATTGAACTTGGTGTCGCCGAGTTCGTAGCGCAGAGCGCGGGCCAATGGACCACCGCTCACTCACCTACTCGCCCATACACCGACGCCTTCAGCCACTCACCCTCCAACACCCCCCCTCCCCCTGCCTCCCTTTGCTCACTCACACTTCATCGTTTAAAATAAAATTTCCTCTTCAAAACTCGTTGTTGTGGATCAGGTGGGGTCGTTGTGGCCGCTCCACCACAGTGCAACTCCCCGTTGCGGTGCGGCGAGCACCAACCAGCGGTGAGGTGCAGTGCCGCCGCCGCCGCCGTGGAAATTTGTTCGCGGAACTCTTGCAAAGACCACTGAGATGTTCGTCATTTTATTTTTCTGAACCGCGTGGTGGCCCGCTAACATTTGTTTTTGTATTGAGGATTCACCGTGGGTCTGCCGGGCCCAGAGAGGTTGCGTACCACGGCCCTAATGCAATAAGCGTTTAGAATCAACGCCTCGCGTTGAGAGTATTCGTTTGCTGCTTAGACATTTCCACGTGATGAGCCACTTGGTTGAGCTGTCACGTGTGATGGCCAGGGCGCTTCTGAAAAGAGCTACATGGCACCAGTGTGGGCCTTACCTGATCAAATAAAAACAATCAAATTTTGACTTAAAGCTTTCGGGACTGCAGGGATTCATATTCTTGGTTCTTTTGGTAAAGTCACGTAGAAGGGAAATAATAAAATAATAAAGAATATAAAACAATAAAATTCTCACGATGTTTCGACTGCAACACAAGCAATTATCAAGAAAATGTTCTTGCCGTGTTTTTCACACCTGATGATGATTGCTTGTGTTGCAGTCGAAAAACGTCGTGAGCATTTTATTTTATCCTTATATTGTTTCCCTTCTACGTGACTTTACCGAAATAACCAAGAATATAAAAACAATCAAATTAGTTGAGTTCCAGCAAGCGCCACCATACTCTGTGTTTTGTAGAGAGCAGCGGTGGTGGGAGTGATGATGATGATGATGATGATAATTATCATCATTATAATACTCTTATAATACAACACACAGCAGAAAGCCGCCACAATTTGTACTTACAAATTCTTCGTCAGGCCACTCTCCATTCACATCGTCTGCCTTCTGCGAGTCTGTGAAGTGATACGCACAGTAATTACTGCATTTTAAACAATGACATTTTGTACGTGTTGCAGTATATATTGCAATATCACGTGACATTAGCTGCAAAATAAATCGTGAAATTGCTCTTATCCGTGCCTCCTTACTCTCCCTAGGTCAGGGGGTCGGCAACCAACATAACTAGAAGAGCCATTTTTGTCGAATTCGCAAACAAATATAAAATCTTCCTGGTTCTTTCAGTAAAGTCACGTAGAAGGGAAATAAAATAATTATTTTATTATGTTTTCTTTTTATTATTTTATTATTTCCCTTCTACGTGACTTTACCAAAAGAACCAAGAAGATGAATCCCTGCAGTCACGAAAGCTTTAAATCGAAATTTAAAATCCCTCAATATGTTCAAGAGGCGCAATTGTGATGCCGCCGCCACGAAGCCGTTCGGCAGGCGCCCAAATCCCCGACCTCGCCACCACCAAGCAACGGAGCCAACCCCGCGTCCCCCTCACCTCACCTCACATGAACACACCCGCACGCATTTTCCCCCACCCATAGAGCTGGAAGGGGAGATTACCTGGCCGACCGGTTTTTATCCGAGAAACCCTTATCGGGGTTAACTCTCACGGTTTCCGGCGATCAGGGAATTGTATGACCTCCCCCGTGCTACGTGGCACCGCGGCGCTGCGACCAGCCTTAATATGGTGTGGTCGCGGCATGGGGCATTCGGCCACCGCGGTTGAGGCGCATTTCCCCCCACACACACCCCCACGGGTCGACGGGGATGCTGCGGGAGGGTGTCCCAATTAGAGTCCGATTTGGGACAACTGCGTACTAGGGGAGGGACGGGACAGCATGAATAGCGGGACCGCAGGAGCTGTTGCGCATAGTCATGGAGGGTTGGGATAATTATGCTTGAGCGCGCAGGCCCCATTGTTAGGAAGGGTAAGGGAGTAATTAGGATGTACGCCGCCAACGCAGCTCACTGATTAGCAGATCAAAAGCGCCCGGAACCGCCGTGCGCGGGCTCGAGGTGCACGAGCCCATTGTTCAGCGCAGCATCCCCTTTGAGGTAGGGAGGATAAATAGAGGGGCACAGAGGGGAAATCGCTCTCTTCTCTCCAGGCCAGCGGACCAGCAGCAGCTCCAGACAGCGACCCGGACGTCCGTGTGACGCACCGAGGCACGCGGTTAGCACAAGGATCAGCGGACCGCCGTGGACACTTAACAGTGAGTAAGAAGGTGAATTAGAATCATAGCAGATAAATCGGGAATAGGTATAGAGGTATCAGCGTAGGCCAGCCTCGTCGACTCACTGATTTAACATCTAGTTCCAGGTAGCGGATAATAAATCATTAATAGCTGATCGTGGCCTCGTGTGATCTCGTGTTATAAGTGTGAACGGAGTGGTACGGGAGTTAACCGAGGCCGGCCAGCCGGGGTGCATCTGTGTTCCTGCCCAGGTGCGACCCCAGCTGCTATGGCTGGTGCATGACCACCCACTCGGGGGCCACGATGGGGAACGACGTACTCGAGAGACCCTGCGTCGCCAGTATCTCTGGCCCAAATTGGCACAAGACGTGGCGGCCTGGGTACAGGGCTGCCGCGCCTGTCAGCAGTGCGGGCCGAAACCAGCACGATACCAGGTACCCCTAAGGCCGTTCCGCGTCAGCCGCACGAATCAGCTGGTCGGGATCGACCTACAGGGGCCATTCCCGCGATCCCATCGAGGCAACCGATATATCCTAGTCGCAGTAGAGTATTTCACCCGCTACCCCGTGGCAGTGGCCATCCTTGATAAAACGGCCTTGGTGGTGGCCCGGGCATTTGTGGAACACTACGTACTTAAGCACGGGATCCCAGAACGAGTCCTCACCGACCAGGGTAGCGAGTTCGAGGCCGAGTTGTTCCAGGCACTGTGCCGAGAGTTCGGAATCCAGAAGGACCGAACCACAGCGTACCACCCCCAGGCGAACGGTATGGTGGAGCGCATGAATCAGACCTTAGCGGGGAAACTCAAACGTATGGCGGCCGCAAATCAACGGGATTGGGATGAACACCTCCCCTATGCCCTTTTCGCCTACGCCACCACCGTACACACGTCGACGGGACAAACCCCGTTTTTAATGATGTTCGGCCGCGAGTCTCGTTTACCCGCAGATCTGCTATTCGGCGTCCCTTCCCCCCAGCCGGAGGAGGGAAGCCGCCCCGTGGAACACCTGTTGGAGACCCTGCGAGAAGCCCGAGGCCGAGCATACCCGCAAGGGGAAGCCGCGCATCGGCGGCAGGAACAGGGCACCCGACCCCGCATGGAACCCCCCTTATTCCTGACAGGCGCTAAGGTGTGGCTACACACCCCTCGCGTCGGGGCCGGGCAGGTGGGGAAACTGACGACCTACTGGCGGGGACCCTGGACCGTGGTGCAACAGATCTCCCCCTGGATGGTACTAATTTATGGCGGGGAGAGGGATCGAGAGATGGTGGTCAATGTCCGCCACTTAAAACCATGGAAAGCGGCCCCGGCGAGAGAGAACCCCATCACCCGAAGGCCCCGAAATCCCGGAGTACCCGCACCCCTCGTGTTGGGGGGCCTCGCACACTACATGGGCCCCGCCGGGCCCCCGAGACGCCCTGATCCAGTACGGAGACGGCGCGGACGACGGCCACTAAACCCTTCCGCTGCTGAGTTTGTGCCCCAGCCCACAGGTGCCGGAGGACGGGGAGAGCCGCTGGAGTGGAGGAGGAGACCGCCGCAGGAGCTACAGAGGACGGAACCACCCGCCCCGAGGCCAGCCACCAGGTCCGGACGGATCCCCCGGACCCCGCAACGTTTCCTCGTGGGCGCGGCCCAAGCGAGGTGCTCCAGTCAACCCGGGACGGGGACTGGCACCTCGGGGGGCTATGTGATGCCGCCGCCACGAAGCCGTTCGGCAGGCGCCCAAATCCCCGACCTCGCCACCACCAAGCAAAGGAGCCAACCCCGCGTCCCCCTCACCTCACCTCACATGAACACACCCGCACGCATTTTCCCCCACCCATAGAGCTGGAAGGGGAGGTTACCTGGCCGACCGGTTTTTATCCGAGAAACCCTTATCGGGGTTAACTCTCACGGTTTCCGGCGATCAGGGAATTGGATGACCTCCCCCGTGCTACGTGGCACCGCGGCGCTGCGACCAGCCTTAATATGGTGTGGTCGCGGCATGGGGCATTCGGCCACCGCGGTTGAGGCGCATTTCCCCCCACACACACCCCCACGGGTCGACGGGGATGCAGGCGGGAGGGACCCCGGGGGCCAACGGCCCCCACACAATGCACTGTGGTGAACCAGAGACGGTGCATTGTAAACAGCGGTCACGAAGCAGCCCTTAAAGAGCCTCGTGCGGCCCTGGGACCGCAGGTTGCTGACCCCTGCCCTAGTAGCTCAAGAGCCAGCAAAGGTGTAGAGGAGTAGAAGAGAGCAGTGGCGTCACGCGCGCTGTCCGGTGCGATGACGTCACGGGACGTGGGGTCACGCGCGCTGGACGGCGCACATGACGTCACGGCTCCTCGAGTATAAAGGGGGGAGCCCGTGACGTAAGCGGGGTCGTAGCTGGAGTCAAGGGTCGGAGTAGGGTGGAACGGGGGGAGCCAGGGGCAGGACGGTAGGACTAGGGGATATAGCGCAGCGCCAGGGCTGGACGTGGCTGTGATCCTCGGTCGGCCGCGTTGGCTGGTCCCACGGCCGGCGTAGAGGAGACGGCACGGGGCAGCCGGCTGTGTCGGGACCCAGTGGGACCGAGCCCGGGACCCCTGACCCCTGGGAAGTGGTTCACCCGCCCCGTGTCTTGTGTAGCCCTTCATAAACTTACGGCGAAAGCCCTTAACCTCACCTCCGTCTCTGAGTGAGTCGTCGCTAACCCCTCTACAAAGGTATAAACAAGATCTCCCAGGGGCACACTTCAAAGACAATCGGTGGCAGCTGTAACACTTAACTGGTCTGCATTGCGTCTCTCTGTTTGCCAAAGGCGCATTATGTGTTTCAAGTTAATTTTGTTCGACCAAGGGTGAGAACTCGAGGATGGGTCTCATTTGCAAGAGCGACCCTGGGCCACCAATAGTACATAATAAAAACAAGTAGAAGAGATGACAGAAACGTCTAAAACATACAACTTTGTTGATTGTATTTGCTGCTGAACTGCTGCACGTATTTGCCGTGAAGCAAGCATGTTGCCTGAAACGTTGACCAATAATATTTTTTTTTCTTTTAAGGCCACAGTGTTCTTGACGAGTGTGATTTGTTTCGGTTTAAAGCTTTCGTGACTGCATGGATTCATATTCTTGGTTCTTTCGGTAAAGTCACGTAGAAGGGAAATAATAAAATAATGAAAATAAAACATTAAATTCTCACGACGTTTCGGTCACAACGCAAGCAGCCGTCCTCAGGTGAAGAACAGGGCTGTCGTAAAGACTGCGTCCTAACATTAGGACGAGTGTGATTTTTGTTTGCGTACCACTGCATACGGCAGCAGTTGGATTACTGCATCGTTTGTTTAAAGCAGAATGCAATACTTACACAATCTCTGCACTCAGTCTAGACACACTGCGGGAAATTAACCAATATACATGAGCCGTTTCATCACTAAAATAAAGCGCTGCGATATTTAAGTCCATTGACCAATGGTATCAAAGTTATTTGATGACATGTCATGATTTGGGCTCACAAATCACTTCAAGAAATTCAAATTTCGTCGCATTTTTTTTTACACGTTGTCGTCTGCACGCATTTTATTCCGGTCGCTTAAATGTATAATTTACGTAACAATTTACACAGATTGTAAATAAACTAAACGTTTTATTTAGCAAGAAAGGCCCACTGAGCTACATAGCTAATTTGCAGCAGCAGCCTGGCTATCACGAACGATAGCTCAACGAAGTGGCTTATCATCACATGGGAATACATAGCAGCCAAATACTCTGAAGGCGTGGTGATGTTGATTCTAAACGTGGAGGGAAAATGATTGATTCTCACACGCTATCTC